AAAGCACGCCTCTGAAAATCGACTTTTTTAAAATAACTTTTAAAATACTTTGTGCAATTTACTATTTTTTAATACGATGGATAACAGATTAGACTCCTTAAAAATTGAACCATGAAAGCAATTTGGCTTGTTTGTCAGCTGTAGCACAATAATGTCAATTTTTTTACAACATTTAAGATAAAAGCCCAAAAATAATATTTTTAGATAGCTTGAACCTTACACTAAAAAAATGCACTTTTTGTTAATATCGACAAAATGAACTATTTTCAAGGAAGAACTATTTTTGTTTAATATGATTTTTATTGTATCCCTAAAGAGAAATAAACCGATAAAATTTGCAATATTTCTGTGCATATCTAAAAGTTTTATCTGTTGTCCATTGTATTAAAAAACAATTAAATTACATTGTAGTATTTAAGTATTTTAAAAGTTATTAAAAGTAATCAGGGGCGTCTTTAGGTGCCTGTATCTCCGTAGGAACTTGTCATGTTATTTTAAGGTCCCTTATATAAATCAGAGAGATTGCCCGCATATTCTGGGACATCCAGTATTTAAAATGTACGTTTTAGTTAGGGGACCGCCTAGCCAGGTGTCTTGGCCGATGGATTTCGATCGGCCGAGGTAAGCATTACGGACGCAGGCTGGAACTTGGATGGGTGACCTAAGGCAGGCTCGGGGATGTGACTGTGGCAGCCTACCAGAGACCTGGGTCGCTCAACACCTTCCGCCTGCGTGTGATCCCCGATAAAAATGGTAATGAGAATAGAGCAATAAATCTCTATAACTCAAGACCATGCTATCCATAAAAATTGTACGAGTCTTTGCCACCAAGCCACCCGTGTAGTAATAGGATGGTTTGAAGAAAAGTACTCGAGTAATGAAGGGAGGTGTACAAGGGGCCTAATAAGGCCTAAGTGTCGCGGTGGAAAAGCAATTTTCCACCATCCCCCGACTTACATACATACATACATACATACATACATACATACATACATACATACATACATACATACATACATACATACATACATACATACATACATACATACATACATACATACATACATACATACATACATACATACATACATACATACATACATACATACATACGTTATAGTTTTCACGTACGATTATAACAAAATGTTATTTATTGGTACTAAAAATTCCATTACATTTCTATAAAGAGTACTTAGTTACTAACAAAGGACAGTACCTTCAAATGTATCATTGACTTACTAATGCATTTTTCAGTATTCTAGCATGCAATGCTCACATCTAGCTCTTTCATTTCGAACATCCTGCACGCACAATGCACAATCGCCTTAAAAATAAAACACTAAGAAGGAACGAATTGCTATTTTTGGGGGAAATATGTTGTTGTTAGGGTTACCAATATTACTATGTAACCCTTTCAAAGCGATTGCAATGGTATTAGATCGAACCGAATCGAATATTACATCTTCTGTGGTGTTCCCCAGGGTTCAGTTTTGGGACCACCTTTTATTAATATTTTTGTAAATAATATGATATTGACGGTTTGGACATGAGTGAAGAGAAGCTATATTTAACTGTAACAAGTATGTATGACCGTTCAAACCTTCAGCAATAGAGTAAATTCATAGTGTAGATCCAATAAATATTGATTTGTGAAACATTATAAACTTTTAAATGCTTTGAAACTTAAAACATATTCTATTAAGATCTTTAAAGATCTCACTGTTTCATTCGACTTGAATCATTCGCATTGCAAGTTTATATAACTGAGTGTCTTCTTTACTAATTTGGGCTGTCAGCCAGTATCCAAATGACAGTTGATCACTGCTTATTGCTCTGTTCACTCTTGTTTACGTGTAGTGTAAAATTTTGTTACCTACGATTGTTTCTTGTGTGTTTTTTAAAAGACTGTAAACGTTTAAATAGATTGTAAAGTCAGACTAAAAGTACTTGCAATGCCATCTATTGAAAAATCAGTTTTGCGAGAAATACCAAACACTAATAAAAAAGTAATTGAAAAGTGTATTTCGGACATGTTGAGCACATTTTCCTTATATTTTAATAGGACAAAATAAAACTTTCCAATTATATTTGATTTTTTTTTCAATAGATTATAAGTACCTAAATTCTTCCGCCCTCCATGGTACGGAAGTCAAAAGCCGCCACTGATAATAATGTTGCAACTGTTTGTCACTTTTTAATGCTGGTGTGTATTTTTTTGGCAATTAGCCACAAAACGCTGACAACGCAGGCTCTCAACGGCTTAATTTCAGCAACCAGCATACAAATTCAAATGACTCACCCAGACATCCGTCTTCAGCGCGTTACAAAAAAATTGAAGTATACGCAAACAGAATAAAAAGTAAAACAAATAGTACGAGGCGAAAACAAATAAAGGCGGTTGAGAACAGGCTCATTTTCACAAACTTGTGTGTAAAAGTAAATCGTCAGCAAAAGTTGGCAGTATATTTATTTGTCTAATACCCTCATAGATCCTGTGGGAAATCAGGAGACGGTTGAAGGATCACTTCAGGATAAACGTATATCTTCAAACGTTTGCGCATTTTCGACCTAATTAAACTTAATCATCACCTTTTCAGACATTCCATTACCGTTTACATCTAATTAGATAGAGATCAGTTAATTTCATCCAAAAATTTCAAACGAATTAATTTCAGAGGTAGAATTTGTAAGCGAGATTTTATTAAATGTACGGGATGTAAAATGCCTGGTCGATTCTTAATAACGGAATCTATATTGCGAATGAATAAACAAGTTCATGAAAGCCTCTGCCGGAAGTTTTAGTTCCCGATAAATTACAAGAAATCAGTTGAGTCAATTTATTTTAAATTTGGCTAGTAGTCTTACTTTCTCATTGTCTACGTAAGTATGTATTAAAGTCAGAATTCTCGAATCAGTTCTTGTTTTTACCTTAACACCTAACTCCCTAGAAAGCGATTTTAGAGACTTGAACCAACTTGAATAGTTAGCGATTGGAAAATCATAGGAATTTATGATCTCATTGCACTATAACCTCATAACAATTTGAATTGTAAAAAGTCACTGACTGAACAGCTATTGTAGGTACAAAGAAATGAACCTGCAGATGACTTTATAACAATGGATTATTTGTTTAACAAAATCATCTTCAGCGACGAGGCTCATTTTCATCTTCATGGCATAGTTAATCTACAAAATTGTCGCATTTGGTGTTCAGAAAATCCACAACTAGTCTCTGTTTGGTGCGTATTTTGGACTGAAGGCATCATCACATGGAGGCAATCCTTCTTCGAAAAGTGGCTGTTTAGGCAATAACAGTTAATGGTGTTAGCTATCGCGACATGATAATTCAGTTTTTTTGTGTTTAAATTGCAAGAGTTGATAAAGACGACATGTGCTTTCAACAAGGTGGTACAACATATAGCCTGAGAAACATTTCAATTATTGCATAAGTCATTTTCTGGTCGTGTATATTCCCGTTTTGGTAATCAGAATTAGCCATCCAGATCATGCGATTTAGCGCCGTTAGACTTTTTTCTTTTGAGTTTTTTGAAGTATAAGTTCTATGCCAACAAGCCCACGACCACCCAGATCTCGAAATTGAGCGCTGAAGTTTTTATCTCGAACGCCTCGTTAAAAAGATACAGTGTGTTAAAACTTAAAAAAATGTGTTTAATTTTTTTAAATAATAATTTAAAAACTAGTACCTAAGTGAAATAATTTGAGATTGGGCGCATGTATTTATGTAAGCATTGTCTAAAATATAGTACCTTTTCTCCGGTGGCGGAGATACAGGGTATCGGTGTCACATTTTTTCTAAATAAAACAGTACGCCACTGCTTTATCAGGCTTTTTTCGAGAAACATAAAAGCAGGTATCCATTTGTGGCAATGTTCCGTTACGTAACAACGAACATGTTACGGCCTGTTGCAAAGGGTGACACGGTTCGCTGCGAAAGTATGTGTGGTTTTGGTCAAATCATTCATTCCGTAACGTAACAAAATAAGGTTACGAGACGACACAGGAACATAAACTCGCAGTATCACTTGACTGCAATAATCGATTCGTCACTGCAATTGCAGTTAGCAACAGCGTCATATATTTTTACTCATCATACAATTTTGAAGGATAAGAAACGGAAATCTCTAGAAATCTTTTCTTTACTCCACTTCATGGTACAAACACAGAAAAACACACTCTTCCTAGCCAGTGCAGAAAACAGACTAAGCCCAGACCATATACAAAAGACTGACGAAACAAAAAATAAAACATATAGCAGAAAGTACTGTTGCATCCTTTGATGCCACGACTAAAAACCGACAACTGATGGTTCGTCTCAGATTAGTTACGCGTGTCAAATTTGTTATACATACCATGCAACAATTTTCCATCTCCACTAGCTGTAACGTAATATGTGCGGTGTTACGTTACGGGGCATTTGACACAAATGGATACCCGCCTTAAGAGAGTAGTAATTTGTACATAATTGATGTTTATATAAATACATGTGTCCAATTTCAAATTATTTCACTTACTAGCTTTAATAGTTATTTTTGTATCTAGTGCGCGAAATGCTATTTTGGTGATCGGTAATTGAATTTTTTAACGAGGCGAAGCCGAGTTAATAAATTATTCGAGACCACCAAAGTAGTTCGCGCACGAGATGCAAACAATATTTTTTCTACAAACGTCAAAATCTATATCTTAAAAATATTATAAATAAGTAAAATGCCTAATTTATTATAGAAAATAGTGTTGAGCTGGCTTAAAATGTCTTTCCTAATCAAATTTTCACTGTTACTATGGAAACAAAGTGGCTGTTGTTGACAACAATAATAATTATTTTAAAGTGACGTTTGTGCTCGCGTCTTCAATTTTTAAGTGCCAGATATTATTTAAAATAATGGAAATTGCTAGTGACGATGAACTAAGTAGTACCCCACCTAATTTGGCAGATGCGGCCAATTTGGTAACTTCAAATCTTTTACCGGAAAAATCGAAGCGCCAATATGAAAATGCATATCGGCAATTTAAGGAGTGGTGTGAAACAAATAAAGCAAGAAAAGCATCCGAAAATGTGCTGTTAGCATATTTTGCAGAAAGATCCAAGAAGGTGAAGCCTTCCACATTATGGGCAGTATATTCTATGCTAAAATCAACACTTAATGCTAAGGAAAACGTAGATATTAAAAAATTTACCAAGTTGGTTCCATATTTGAAAAAATTGTCAGTTGGACACAACCCTAAGAAATCCAAGGTATTAACTCGAGAAGAAGTAAATCAATTCATAAGAGAGGCAGATGATGAAATATATTTGATGGCTAAGGTATATTTTTAATCATTGTTTTATATGTATTTTAAATTACTAAATATCGATATCCTTTTAGGTCGTTTTAATATTGGGTATTTCTGGTGCTTGCCGCCGTGAAGAACTCACTAAAATGAGTGTCGATGACATAGAAGATAAAGGTTCCATCTTGATTGTGAAAGTACCGGATACAAAAACGAACATACAACGAATTTTTACGGTTTCGAATCTAGATTATATCGATATTTACCGAAAATACGTGGCTCTTCGTCCAAGTTATGCTAGCAGTCGCCGATTGTTTTTGAAGTATCAAAATAAGAGATGCATTAACCAAGTTGTTGGAATAAATTCTATTGGAGGGATGCCCAGCTTAATAGCAAAATACTTAAAATTACCAAATTCTGATGCTTACACAGGTCACTGTTTTCGGAGAACCTCGGCCACACTTCTTGCTAATGCTGGGGGTGATATATGTAGTTTGAAGAGACACGGGGGATGGAAATCTTCCACCGTGGCCGAAGGATACGTGGAAGATTCTATCAATAATAAGATTCAAATATCAAATAAAATTTTAGATTGTGAAATTTCAGGATCACATGGTATCACCTCTACCTCAAAAATTAGTAGTGTTTCAACCCCCAAAACCCCAATATCCCGAGCTGAACCTGAATTATCTGGTTTAGGAATAAATATTGGTTCGTGTACTGGTTGTACGATTAATGTTAATATTGTAAATAATAACTAAAGTTATTGTAAAATTCTATCATTATTTTAAAAGTATTTAATTGTTATTCATTTAAAAATAAATAATAATTTGGAGTTTTGCTTCATTTTTTCAAAGATTGAAATACAAAACTCTTATTAATTTACATGCAGTGTGCGAAATACTTCGCACCCTAGTGCGCGAAGTATCTCGCGCACGGTGTCATGGTAACGTAAGAATCCGAAAAAAAGTGTCACTTCGCATATTGTTGTCAATGCGCAAACCTTGTCATTTTTTGACGTTTGTAGAAAAAAAATATTTAAAAAAATTTAAAATATTTTTTGAAGATTAACAGCCGGTACCTTTTTAACGGAGTTCTAGATAAAAACTTTATCCGAAAGGCTCCCCTTAAAATTCACCAAAGAATACGAGGTTTAATTTTTGGTCACCTTTTGAGAATCACCCTGTATATCGTTTATAAAATATACATTTTTATTTCAAAGATATCTCAACAAAATATGTGTTTGTGCCGTTGTCGCAGAAGTGTGGTATAATTTTCCAAAAGTGCCGGATTAGCGGTATTACCTAACCCCGTACTACTCATTAGAGTAATTGCAGAGCTACGTAGGGAGGAAAATGTATTCACTACGGAAAAAATTATGTAAAACGCGGGGTACGTTGAGTAATCCTAAATCGATAAGTGAGCAGTAAATCTTATTTTCCTATATTGTACGCAAATTTTTATGGCTTATAGAGTGAGCAACTTTACATATAAATTAAGAAATTTGTTTACAGCTGCTACGGCAGAGGAAAATTGAGAACGCCTACTTGATAACATAATTCGGTGGGCTTTCTATTTTTGCGTGATCCCAACAGTAATATTAACTAGTTGCAGTTTAATATAAAACAAGTTAATTTAAAGCAGTCAAGGTGTATAAAGCTTATTCGTCAAAAAAATGTACGTTAAATTTAAATTCAACAAATCCAATAGTTTATCTGTGGGAATGGCACTCACTTTTGATAGAAAATAGTAATCGAATACGAACTTGTTACTTGTTTTCAGTTTTTAAAGGAACATCCTATGGTTAAAGGGAAATTCATTAATCTCCCGCTGAGCAAATTTACAATTCCTTTGACGTCTGGCTAGCGTTATAAAGAGACATTAGTTCGTTGCCGGCGATCAGATTCGCAACCGTTTATAATAATAATAATGAGGGCGAGCACAAGTATGTCGCCGGAGTGCACATAATCTCTTGAATCGAAATTAATTTCGAACATTGCGGCTGCGGACGGGCAAAGGGCACTCGAATGAATGAACACTAACCACACATTCGGCGAATTCCGCGTATTATAATATAATGAAAACAAGTAGGGAATGGAATTCGGGTTATAACAATTACATCTGTATTGTTAGCAAGCAACGGTTTGATTTAGGAATACTCCGGAATTAGGACCGACGGTTAGTGTTTCTGTTAACAACACGGGCCATTTCCACATCCATTCGATAACTTTCCAACTTCTCTAGTTAGCAGTTAGCTTGTTTGCTTAGACTTAGTCCTTAGCAGCCGTCCTAGGGCGGGCCTGTACACCGCTCAACCTTTACGGCTGGCCTTCTGTTGGGGGCGCTATCTGCAACCTACATTATGTAGTTTTACGTATGTGTAAATTTGCTCCTCTAACTGGTGTCGGGTTGTGCTTGTTTACGTAATGGAGGCTCGTTGCCGGCCGGAATCGATGGCAGTTTTAATAGGGCGACGTTTGTTAATAAGGAACTGTTAATTTCAAATCACATACGTACTTACAGGATGGTCACTAAAAATTGATCCTCGCTTTTTTTCCCTCGTTATTATTCGAGATAAGAACAAAAATGTAAAAAAAAATTATGGAGATTTAAAAAAAATGTTTTCACATGTACCTACAGCAAAGACAATTGAATGTTGGTAGCATTTTCTGGATGTAGATGTAACTTGTGTGTTTTTTTAAGAAACATTCTAAATTCTATTTAAAATAATCATCAAAAAGACTTTTCAAAGATATGTTGTATATTAATTAAGTACTTTCAACAGTTTTAGAAATAAACTGGTCGCAGAAATTAATAGATAAAAAAATCCTATATTTGTAGGCAATTTTCAAAAGGCTGTAACTGACGAAAATGGTCGTGGAACAACAAAAGAAAGCAAATTTCAGGATCTGAAAGTAAAAAAATTGTATCACTGACCCCCTTCAATAAGAAATCATAACATATACAACGAAAAAAAATACCACTTCAATAATTGCTTTTTGGCAATTTCATCTGTCAGCTCTTTTATATTGATTCATAAAATAGGACCAGGACAAAAATAAATATTAACAGGTGTATCGTTACTTCACAAGATTAGAATTTCGCATAAAATTGTCCATCTCCTGTACACTGTATACAAAATATAACGCATTTTGTTGTCCTGATTAAAGATGTAATATAAAAATATGGATGATCAATGAACTGTATGACAAAAGTTGTCTATTCACAAGTTGAAAATTTGCATAGTTACGAAAAACGAATCAAAAACGAATTAGCATATTGAGGCGCACTTTAATTTTTCCACAAAATCCAGTTAAAAATGACAATTTTTTTGTCGCTTCTTGGGAAAAATCTACGAGAAACCCTCAAGAAATGTTAGAATTGGCCTCACTTTTTAGATATATTGTACTGAAAACTGAAAAACACGGAACGCTGGCTAATTAAACAAAAAAGGAAAACAGTACTTCTCAGATTAAATGTTCAGATTACTTCAGTAAGGCACATTAATGTTGATGCTGCTATCGTGTGCCTTTCCTTTTAACGTCTTTCAGGATCTAATACCATGCAAATGTAGAAACTGCAATAAACTGAAAAGCAAAAGCAGTTTATTCCCACTAGTTTTGAAATACATGCATATTCCTATATTTATATAAAACCGTATGCAATTTCCCGAGTGCCACGGAACTTTTATTACAGCGTCGATGTAAAGAAAACCGCTATGCGATAATTAAACGTGAGTTATTATAAACGTAGAAACGTCAATTATGTGCTATTTTACGGCGTACACTAAAGTAAACATAAATTTAATTCTCGATTTAACGCCTAGCTACGCGCTGACTTCTGCAAACCGTAAATTTTTATTTAGGGTAAGCTAATTACGATTTCACATAAGTTTTGCAGCGGCATTTTGCAATAAGCTTCGGCGGATATTAACAACTTCGATGCCGGCCAATTTTTAGAACCTTTTTAAAAGTTTCAAATACACTGAAAGAAGTTTATTAACTGCTAACTCCTGTGCACTACCGTAAGGAAAACCTGAGTGCTTGTGTAATTTAAGTTACTGTTTTCACAATACTTATATCGCAAAGAATGTAATGTTTAGACCAGTAAAAGTTGAATTGCATAGAAATTTTAGCGGATAGATGTGTTTTATTGAATTTTAATGGCCTTCGCGTACAATTGGTCATTTGTAATTTTGTAGATAAAATTTTTATCATTGACGAACCAAAAAACAAGTAGAAACAGGTCACAACTGTTTACGTAATTATGCGGTATGTTCAAAATTGTCACTAACATAGTGTACGTACGCATTTAGTGTTTCCACAACAATAAAAACTTAAGATTAAAACATTGACTATTTTCAGCGTACATAGGCATAATGCCAGTAACCAAGAATCACTAAAATTATGTATTTATCTAATGAAGTATGATTCATGGACTATAGAAAACGTATTTATATTTATACTGTACGCCCCTAAAGTATGGAATAAATTCAATAAAACGAAACAATTTTTTTGGGAAAAATCCTCGAACTGGTCGATTATTAACTTAAAAAATACATATTTTAGCATAAAAGGTGATTTTCAACCGTCATTTGTTTTCGAGTAATGACGTCATCGGCATTTTTTTTTAAATAGCAACCCTCTATTTTTTCTTGATTCTGAAAGATCGTTTCATTGTCGATTCGACAGTATTAAAATGTTGCCATCAGACACAGGAAAGTTTTCGAGTAATTGACGATTGAATGTCAGAAAACGTAAATTTTATTCATTAAAAAAATAACAATTCCTATGTCAAGCAAATACAATTCATTAAGTTTTCTACCTAAATTAACTGTTCGAATTGCCACCCACCGACTTCTTGACAATACGCAAGTCTGTGTAGAAATTCTTCTTGCACATTATGAATTATTTCTGGGGTAGCTCTGTGTATTTCATGTATAATACAATTAATTTTGGAGTTCTTCTAAATTATGTGGTCTATTAACATACACTTTGGACTTTAAGTAGCCCCATAAGCAAAAGTCCAGATCTGGGCATCTCGCGGGCCATTCTATCGGTCCTCGTCTGCCGATTCACCTCCTAGTAAAACAATTGTCCAGAAAATCTCGAACAAGGCGCGCATAGTGCGGAGGTGCACCGTCTTGCTGAAACCATATGGTGTCATCAGGAATATCAGGGTCATTATCGTTAGGAAAAATTACTGCAAGTGCTGGAACAAGGTCATTTTGTAAAAACTTTAAGTATCTTTTTGCTGTAAGGGTTCCTTCAAAGAAGAATGGCCCTACTATTCTGTTGTCAACTATTCCAGCTCACACATTTAATTTCTGTGGGTGTTGAGTATGTGTCTCTGCCATCCACTGAGGATTTTCCCGACTCCAATACCTACAAGTTTGACGGTTCACTATACCATTGAGACAAAACGTGGTCTCGTCCGAAAAAACTATTTGCCGGTGTAAATCTCTATTTACTTGACATAAATCCATTATAATTTCACAAAAGTGTAAGCGGCGGTCGGGATCGTCTTCATTGAGATTCTGCACAAGTTGAATTTTGTAGGGATGATATATTTCCTTCCTTAGGATACGTAGCACTGTGGTCTGACTAATTTCATGGTTTAATGCAACCAATCATGAAGTATTATAAGGATTATCTACCATACTTATCAAAATGTCTGTTTGTGATCTTCACTAACGCTTGGACGTCCAGGTTTTGGAATATCTACAACATTGCCAGTTTATCTAAATTTAGATTCTATCTTACTGACTGTTG